TCTAAATGTGCCTCTTTTGGGATTCTGAATGGATTTGGAGCTGAAAGCAAATATACATGCCACAGGATAATGTTACAGGATCCAATTTGTGCTGGTTATCGGGAGCAAAGTTTTATTCTTTCAAATTTTTGGGATGGTGCTAGAGCCCATCCTCAGGGAGAGAGAAGTTCCCTGAGGATGGGCTCCAGCACGATGCCAAAAGCTCACAAGAATAAAGCTTTGGTCCCGATGATACAATCTGGACTCAGATTGTATCCTGAATGGATTTCTTTTAATCCCTAATCAGAACAAATGGATCATAGGTGAAACTTCATTAAAAGTTAACTAGTTTTAATTTTCAAGCCAATAGATCAGTGGTAGGATTCAAAAAATTTTACTACCAGTTCTGTGGGCGTGGCTTGGTGGGTTGGCTTGGTGGGCGTGGCAGGGGAAGGATGCTGTAAAATCTCCATTCCCTCCCCACTCCAGGGGAAGGTTACTGCAAAATCCCCATTTCCTCCCGATCAGCTGGGACTTGGGAGGCAGAGAATAGATGGGGGCAGGGCCAGTCAGAGGTGGTATTTACCGGTTCTCCAAACTACTCAAAATTTCCGCTACCAGTTCTCCAGAACTGGTCAGAACCTGCTTAATACCACCTCTGCAATAGATGGCAATATTTTTTTAAATTCATTAGGCTGAAGTGTCTATCTCTAGCTGGATCTGGATCAGAACATATAACTTTTCCTGGATCTATCTTCCTATCTTCCTTCCTTCCTTCCTTCCTTCCTTCCTTCCTTCCTTCCTTCCTTCCTAAATTGGCCTAGAAAATTCAACCACTATGATGTACTATAGTGGGAGATTTGGGAATCATGCCAACCACCACCATCTTTCGGACAGAGTTTAGTGTATTTTTAATTTGAACATAATTTAATTATTATAATGCTTTAAAGTGATAATGCCTGATTATTGGCTGTTAATATGTCCATCCTGCCTAATCTTATAAAACGAACTCTTAGAAATTGAGGGAAAAGTCAGACAGTCTTTATAGGCTGTCAAAGTAAAGCTAAGTCATTTTTTTTTTAAGGAGTGTTAAGAACTATAGATAGCTCTCACTCTAGAGTCTAAACTGTGGAAATATGTTGTTTTAGAGAGAACTGAGAAAATCTGAAAGAAGCGACATAGCTGTGCAACAGATGGCTTTGCAAGATCCTTGGAAAAGCTGTCATTGCTATTGTAAAGTCTCTTTGTATAAATTTGCACTTCTTGGCTTCTATGGCACAAAAACAGACAGGCAGTGTGCATCGTGCACAGTTGAGCATATTTTACGTTTGGTCAACCTCCTCAAATTGAATTGAGTTGAATTGAATTCTTTATTTGGCCAAGTGGGATTAGACACACCAGGAATTTGTCTCTGGGTCAGAAGCTCTTAATGCAAAACAACAGAATAAAGATAATAATAATAATAATAATAATAATAATAATAATAATAATAATAATAATAATAATAATAACAACAACAACAACAACAACAACAACAACAACAACAATAATAATAATTACTACTACTACTACTACTTATTTATTATATTTATTTAATATATATATTTATTTAGTAATATATTTATTTAATAATAAACATAATAATTTATTTATTGACATTGCGGTACCAGGAGATGCCAGAGTTGAAGAAAAAGAACTGGAAAAAAATCATGAAATATCGCGACCTGGCCATTGAAACTACACAGCTATGGATGAAACATGTAACAGTGATACCCATTGTCATCGGGGCACTTGGTACCATGTCCAAGAATTTTATAAGATACATCAACAAATTGCAGCTTCCTGCAATAACACCAGTGGAATTGCAAAAAACTGCACTACTTGGAACATCGTACATCTTAAGAAGGTACTTGGTTGATACCTAGGATGCTGGCAGCAACCCGTATCAACCATTAGCACCAGTCAATGGTATTTGTGATACATTTTTAAATGTCCAGTTGACTGAGTTTCATGTTTAATGAATAAAGTAAATCATCATCATCATCACCACCATTGTACCTTTTAAGAAGATACTTGGTTGATACTTAGGATGCTGGCAGCAACCCGTATCAACCATTAGCGCCAGTCACTGGTATTTGTGACACATTTTTAAATGTTCAGTTGACTGAGTTTCATGGTTAATGAATAAAAAGTTGTTTGTTTATTTATTTATTTATTTTATTAAATTTTTATACCGCCCTTCTCAAGAAGGACTCAGGGTGGTGTACAGCCAAAAATAAAACCCACAACTATATGAAAGTTAAAAGTTAAAACTCACCGCCCTGAGTCCTTCAGGAGTAGGGCGGTATAGAAATTCAATAAAATAAAATAAAATAAATAAATAAAATAAAAGACAATTTAAAAATATTAAATAATTCGGCCAAAAGAGCTAAAATAGAAACCACCCATTAAAATAGCATTTAGGCCAGCCCTGCTTGGTGAAACAATAGCGTTTTGAGGGCGCAACGAAAGGTGCGAAGGTCGGGGATCCTACGAATCTCCGGGGGCAGCTCATTCCAGAGGGCAGGTGCCCCCACAGAGAAGGCTCTCCCCCTGGGGGGTCGCCAGTTGACATTGTTTGACCGACAGCACCCTGAGGAGTCCCTCTCTGTGGAACGTACTGGTCGATGGGAGGGTATCGGTGGCAGAAGGCGGTCTTGTAAGTACCCGGGTCCTAAGCCATGGAACGCTTTAAAGATGGCAACCAACACCTTGAATCGCACTCAGAAGACCACCGGGAGCCAGTGCAGCTCGCATAGGAGCGGTGTTACATGGGAGCGTCAAGTCGCTCCCATAATCACCTGCGCGGCTGCATTCTGGACCAGTTGGAGCCTCCGGGTGCTCTTCAAGGGGAGCCCCATGTAGAGAGCATTACAGTAGTCCAGACAGGAGGTGACGAGGGCATGAGTGACTGTGCGCAAGGAGTCCCGGTCCAGAAAGGGATGCAACTGGTAGATCAGGCGAACCTGATAAAAAGCCCCCCTGGCCACAGCCGTCAAATGGTCTTCTAGGGCCAGCTGCGAGTCCAGGAGGACACTCAAGTTGTTGTTGTTGTTGTTGTTGTTGTTGTTATCAACAACAACAATACCACCAATAAGAGGGGGGGAATAAGAAAGATAAATGGAAAGCTAACTAGAAATGCTACAGCCATGGTACATGAGTAAATACACACAGATATTAGGCAGCAATGTGAGAATTAGGTCTTTGACAGAGTGATAACCTGAGAGAGAAAAAAACCCCTGTCCCTACATCTAATTGTTTTGGCCTGCAAATTGACAGAACAACAGAGCTGGAAGGGACCTTGGAGGTCTTCTAGTTCCACCTTCTGCTCAAGCAGGAAACCTATTTCGGACAAATGGTTGTCCAATCTCTTTTTCAAAACCTCCTGTGTTGGAATTGTATGCTGTACTGTTTGCTCATCTTGAGAGATCCTAGAAAGAGGTGCATATGGGTGCTCAGAAGGAGATGCCTGCAGTCTAATCTCAGATCAATATGTGAATTAATTGTAGCCTTATGGATTTTTAATGGTTGGATCGCGAACCTAACACTTAACACTGAAATTAGTAGAATTTGGAAGTAGTTAATGTTGAGGAAATCTTGTCCAAAGAGGTATTATTTATTTATTTATTTATTTATTTATTTATTTATTTATTTATTTATTTATTTATTTATTTATTTATTTATTTATTTATTTATTTATTTATTTATTAGTCCAATTTATATGCCGCCCTTCTCCATAGACTCAGGGCGGCTTACAATGCATTATAGCAATAGCCTGCATACTTTATTTTATTTGTTTGTATATACCTGCTTATAAGGGCTTTCGGCCCTCCCTAAGCGGTGTTGTTCTATACAAAGTTGGCTTATTGCCCCCACAACCCGGGTCCTCAATTTACCTACCTCGAAAGGATGGAAGGCCAAGTCAACCTTGAGCCTGGTGAGATTCGAACTTGCACTAATTGCAGGCAGCTGGCAGCTAAGTGCTAGCACTTGACAGCACTTTAGTCCGCTGCACCACCGAGGTATGAAGAATGTGTTCCTAAATGTGCTATGGTTTCTTCTGTAATATTAAAATATTAAGTATCATATTTTTCCACAATAAAGATAGTCCTCAAGTTAGGACCACAATTGAGCCCAAACTTTATGTTGCTAAGTGAAACATTTAAGTTTCCCCCTTTTACAACTTTTCTTGCCGCGGTTGTTAAGTGAATCATTGCATTTATTAAGATAGTTATTAAATGAACCTGAATTCCCCATTGACTTTGCTTGTCTGAAGGTCACAAAAGCTTATCATATGATCCCAGGATACTGCAACCGTCATCAATATGAACCACCTGCCAAGCATCTGAATTTTGATGATGTGACCATGGGGCTGCAGCAACAGTCGGAGGTGTGAAGAACGGTCATAAGTCACTTTTTTCAGTGCCATTGTAACTTTAAACAGTCACTACATGAACTCTTGTAAGTCAAGGACTACCTATAGATCTAAATATATTCAAAGGTGTACACTATACTCCTTTTGCTTATTTACAATATTGATATCCATATATTTCACTAAATCCAAGTGTTGGGATTCAGCCGGTTCACACTGGTTCAGGTGAACCAGTTGTTAAATTACCTAACCCCCTCCCCCGCCCCACACACACACACTATCAAAGTGGATCACTATCAAAGTGGATCCATTGCCACGCTGCAATGGTGAAACGAGCAACAGAGCAGCCAGCATGAGGGAAGGAAAAGGCCACTTTCCCTCTTTCTTCTCCCTGCTCCTCCTCCTTCCCTCGTGCCGGCCGCTCCGTTGCCCATTTCTCCATTGCAGCGCACCCCAGCATCCAGGATCCACTTTGATAGCGGGTGGGGGGGTTGGTTGGTAATAATTTGCCTGGCCAAACTAACCCCACAGTCTCCCCTACATTGGGTCCAGCTTCAATTGTGCTGCCAACTTAATTCCTCACCCTTCTCACTTTTGCCCACAGACTGACCTGCACACAGCTCCATGGGGAAAGGGGAAACTGCTCCCTCCTCTTCCCCCCAATTCTTCACCTTCCCGCATGAGCTCTCGGGAGCATCAACTCCTTGTCTCTATGGTAACCCCCCCTCCTCGTTCCTCAGAAACCTCGCCTCTTAAAGGAGCTGCATCCAGAAGGCTGAAACAGCCACAAGACCAACATGCAGACAAGCACCCTTGAAAACAGCATTTTGGCAAAGGATGGAAATTTAACAACCAGTTCGCCCAGGGTCAGGTTGGCTGTCATGCAGTGGTGGGTTTCAAAAATTTTTACTACTGGTTCTGTGGGTGTGGCTTGGAGGGCGTGGCGTGGCTTGGTGGGCATGGCTTGGTGGGCGTGGTAGGGGAAGGATACTGTAGAGTCTCCATTCCCTCCCCAATCCAGGGGAAGGTTACTGCAAAATCCCCATTTCCTCCTGATCAGCTGGGACTTGGGAGGCAGAGAATAGATGGGGCCAGTCAGAATTTTTACTACTGGTTCTCCGAACTACTCAAAATTTCCGCTACCAGTTCTCCAGAACTGATCAGAACCTGCTGAAACTCACCTCTGCTGTCATGGGAGGCTTATTCCAGATGTGTGGCAGAGCTGGACGATGGGAATGGGCCACGCCTCCCACGACAGCCAATCTGACCCTGGAAGAACCACTTGTTAAATTATTTGAATCCCACAACTGACTAAATCTAATAATATCTGTATATCTTCTTTGCCAGCATTCTTTCCTCTGATTGAATATGGGCAACATGTGATTTTTGCAAGGTATTTTTTCATTAGGATGTGTGGGTGAAAGTTACCTGCTTCTGTCCATTATTATAAAAATCCCATGAGTTCTTTTACATTTTTTAAGCTTAGTTCATCTCTCTTTTTAATCATATATGATCTTCTAAATATAGTCATTTTTTCCCCCTGTGAACTAGGACTGAAATCATCTTATGTGCTGTAACCAAGACTTGTTATAAAGTGGTTGTCAGCTGGAATTTATTCTTCATTCTTTTAGGGAACTTTTTGAAATGATAAATGCTTGATCTTTGTTAGGATTCAAATCAGTTTTTGAAGAGGGAAATGTTTTCCCCATGTTAGCACATTTCTACTGTATTACTGTCATCTTTTAAATTAATAATTTCCTCCCTTTAAATTGAAATTCAAATATGTTTATATTTTGAATTATTTATTTTGCTCTGCAGTAAGAAAAGTTGTATTCTAGATTGCCGGCATACCAGTGGTGAGAAATGCTGTTTCATTTGTACAGAGATGATGAATAAATGAACACAAGGCTATTCTTTAAAGGCAATCCTCCATTATATCCCACTGCTAGTGAGATTGGAGGAGATGCTGAGACCAGCTTTATCCATTGCAGAACAGTTGTGCCAGAACAATTGACAAAAGATGCACCTTGATTTAGAAACCAGCATCATTCTTGCAATGGACTTACTTTGATGGTATCTAGGATTTCCCTGATAATAATTAAAAAATGCCCATGACAATAATATAGTTGCAGAGAAGGGGTTAAAATTTATAGCAACCAAACCATTCAGACTGAACTTTTTAATGGTTTGGCTGGGGAAAAGGTTATGAAGCTAAACTGATGAGTTTTTGATGAAACACTTTTCTTTGGAAGCTCTTCAGGAACTGAAGATGGATGGATGGATGAGTTAGCTAACGGACAGACAGACAGACAGACAGACAGACAGACAGACATAATAATAATAATAGAGTTGGAAGAGACCTTAGAGGTCTTCTAGTCCAACCCCCTGCTCAAGCAGGAAACCCTTAAATGTTTCAGGCAAATGGTTGCCCAATCTCTTCTTAAAAACCTGCAGTGTTTTGGAGCACCCACAACTTCTGAAGGTAAGCCATTCCACTGATTTATTGTTCTAACTGCCAGGAAATTACTCTTTCATTTTAGGTTGGTTCTCTCCTTAATTAGTTTCCATCGCTTCTTGTCCTACCTGCAGCTGCTTTGGAAAATAGAGTCGTCTTCTTTGTGGCAGCCCCTTAGATATTGGAACACTGCTATCATATCACCCCCAGTTGTTCTTTTCATTAAACTAGATGTATCCCATTCCTGCAACCATTCTTTGCATGTTTTAGCTTCCAGTCTCCTAATCGTCTTTTCTGCCCTCTTTCTAGAGTCTCAACATCTTTAGGGAGCAACTTAATGGACGTCTAGATATCAAAGTTATCAACAGCTAGAAATTCTTTTTTTTAAAAAAAAAAATATTGTTATTGTTTACATATAAATATATTGAATACAGTGTAATTGTCCTGGCATTCCACTTGCCATGAAACAAAGGTAAAAACAAAATAACATATACACTATTTTAAACAGTGCTAGTGTTGTACAGTTATTTCTGACCATCATATTCTATCTAGAATGTCAACTTATCTATCAATCTAATACCTACATAGTCTTTGTCTTTATCTTTGTCTTTATTTGATTTATATACCGCCCTACTCCCGAAGGACTCAGGGCGGTGAGCAGCCAAACAATAAAATACATAAATACAAAATTTAAAAAACAGAATAAAACCGAATTAAACAAATTTGGCCCAGACAGATTTAAAACAACCCAATCATTTAAAAACAGATTAAAATTCTAATATATACATAGTATCTGGAATATCACCCCTCCTGAGGTGAGCCAAATCTTTTACGGGTCTTCAGAGAGCACTCAAAACATTTGCAAGCCTGGGGATTCCCCAGTAATAGGGAGCCTCTGTGTTTGCTGCATTATATCTTATATGTTCCCTCTTGTGTCCTGTTTAATCCATTTTTTATTGTTTTAAATTGATTATGTATAATGTTTTAAGTTTAGGCTTCAAGTATGCTGCCCAGACTTATGTAAGATGGGCAGCTATATAAACTTAACAAATAAAACATAACCCTAACCAGAGGTGGGTTTCAGCAGGTTCTGACCAATTCTGGAGAACCGGTAGCAGACATTTTGAGTAGTTCAGAGAACCGGTAGTAAAAATTCTGACTGGCCCCACCCCACCATCTATTCTCTGCCTCCCGAGTCCCAGCTGATCGGGAGGAAATGGGGATTTTGTAGTAACCTTCCCCTGGATTGGGGAGGGAATGGAGACTCTACAGTATCCTTTCCCTGCCACACCCACCAAGCCACGCCCATCAAGACATGCCATGCCCACCAAGCCACGCCCACAGAACCGGTAGTAAAAGTTTTTGAAACCCACCACTGACCCTAACCCTAACAAAATAAAATATGTGAGGACACGTCTATTGAGATTCTAGATCATGGTTATCCCAAAGTTGCTTTTTCAAGAGGCAACTGGACTTTCTTGTTTGTTTGGTTTTTTTGAAGATGTTTCGCTTCTCTTCCAAGAAGCTTCTTCAGCTCTGACTGGATGGCAGGGAATGGAAGGATTTATATTCCTTGCAGACAGCTGGTCATTTGCTTTCTTTTAGAGAGTCATTGAGGCCACTTGGAGGCAGGGCCAGATTTAGATGAAAAGAGGCCCTAGGCTATTCCACTTATGAGGCCCTTTCACCTATAGTGAAAGTGTAATTTTAATTTTGCTAACAATTTGAATGTAGGCCCCTCTTGATCTTGAGGCCCTAGGCTGAAGCCTAGTTAGCCTATAGGAAAATCCGGCCCTGCTTGGAGGTTTATCTGTGTCCTCAGGTCACCTGAGTAGTGCAAATGGATGTGGAGCTTTCTTGGAATTGCTGAAATGACTGTGTTTAAACTGGAAGATAGATGATGTCATATTCTCCCCCTGTTGAGAGAGGGCTGTTCAATTTTTGACATAGATGGCCTCTTTGACCCCTGAAAGAGGGGACATGTGAGAGGCCATTCTCTATTGTGACCAATGGTGAAATGCATCCGGTTCTATCCGGCTCGGGCAAACCTGTAGCGCCAGCAACGGGAGTCTCTGCCGACCTGCCCGGATGTGATCACATCCCATTTTTGATGCTCTGTGCATGCGCAGAAGGTCCTGTGCATGAGCAGAAGTGTCGCACATGAGTGAAGTGTGTGTGCTCCCATTTGTGAACCAGTTGCGAAGGTAAGTGGATTTCACCGCTGATTGTGACCCCTGGCTTTGAAATGTTCTTCCCCTGAGGGACATACTAGTGCTACATTATATGTCCTTTGGCACCCAGGAAAGATTTTATTTTATTTTTTTATTCTGTGCCTTTTGTCTCTAAGTTCCCTTGTCTGTTTTGCTTATTCGTTCCTGTCAGTTTTAAAGCAAAATATTCATTCTTTAACTTAGCTTTATCGTTATCTTACTTTTATGCATTGTTTTCATGCATCTGGAGTATCTGATGATAGTGATCAGGCTGTAAGTATTTCAAAGACATAAGTAAATAAATACAATACTTATGTCTTGCACGCAACCTGTTCTGTAGGTTTTCTTTAAGGTGGAAGCATTGGACTATACAGTCACTGGCTGCTATGCATCCTGAACAATGTGTAAATCTTCAGCCTATAGAAACATTGGATCAGAGTACAGTACATAAACAATACTGATTGAATATCTACTCTGGAGCCGTGATGGATTGCTCAGCCAGCTTTCCCTTGATTTCAACAAGGGAGAAGGTGAAAAAAAAAAGCCTATTTACAATATAATTTCTTCGCTTTTTTCTTTGAAATGTTGAAATGCCTCTGATGTTGTACGGATCAGATTTGCAGTATATGAGAATCCAAGCTACATTCCCATTCTGAAATACCAAACTGAGCTTTTGAGAGATTAAATGACCTAGGTTAACCTCAGCTGGGGGGAATTATTTCTGAATTTGGCTAAAGTAGGTAAACTAAAAAGAGAACAGAGGAATTTCTTTGCCTCTTTCCCCCCCTTCCTTCTCTTGCTGTTGCTTTATTTTTATTGGATGTGGAGTGCCTAATTAGTATGGTTTTAATTCAGAAATGCAAATGAAAGTTCTAGAAAAGCAAAGAAATGGAGAAATAAAAGAGCAAACAAAATAAAATGTAATAATTGCCGTTTCCATTGGGAAAAGTTGTAGCTGCAGCATAAACTAAAGAAAAAAAATTCCAACTGGATGCAGTTGTGGGTGATTTTACAGATCTGTTTGCCCTGCAA